GTTTTCAGGTACTGAATTTCCAAATTTATCGACTTTGACCTCTGTGGATGGAGTTGTAGTATATGTATGGTTACAATCATTTAGCTGATGGCGTCACAACTTTGTTTCATCTGAGAAATGTATCAAACAGCCGTCGCAAAAAAATTTCTTATGCCCCCTGGCAGATATCTGGCTAGATACCAGCCTAGATAAATTCTTTATCCAGCAATAGTGGCTATTTCCGGATTCATCATCTGTGGTCAGAAGTAAATTCACATGTTTACTCATTCTTTTCTTAGAGTAATACAGTGGGCCGACTATCTGATATTGCACTTGATGTTTTTCAAACACACTTTCTAACCCGTAAACGTTGATGGAACAATCATTGAGAATTTCGAATTTTGGGATGCTACTCACTTTAACAGGGAACTCTATACCCACCAAATTCAGAACCGTAGAATAGTGCGGATATGAAGAGGTTTCGCAAACATTAGCCCTTGCCGGATACAGTGCAGACGTCACAGCCCAAGCAAAACAGCACTCATCCTGGTTCACTATGTTCACTACTGCCTTTTTATTCTCTATGAAGCTAGGTAGCTTCATGTAGGAACACCCACGCAGCGGACTGTATTTGTTGATGTTGATTTCCAGAAACATGATTTTTTCTAAAGCCCAACCTATAACAATAATACCATCAGATGATAATCAAAAGTGTTGAAAAATATATCAACTCACCAGAATCGCGTTCCTCAAATTCAGTCGTTTGATTCAATAAGATGTCCTTGAATGTGTCAACTACGGCCTCCAAATCCAGCGATGAATCCATGATGTGATTTGGTGTCATGAAGGATTTGATATCGTGAAGATCTTGGGATTGTAAAATATATCTTCCGAATACTTCCATATTCACTTTGATGGAGTGGTGAATCGAGATTATATTATCCAATAGGGATATTATGGTCGCTTTATTTTCATTAAAAAACGTATTGTAATCCAATACATCAGTTCTGCATTCCAATCTATAACTTACAATACGGCATTTGAACGCATTCTCAATCACATATACTCCATCCCTATAATTGACGCAAGCGTTTGTTCGATGCTCCAATGTCCTTTTATGAGCGCTCATTTTATCAGCTGGAATCATCTTATTGCAAATGGTACATGCCTGCAGATTTCCAGAAGTTGTTGCTTGCTGAGTGCCATTTCCCAGTCGAGGCTTCTTTGCGATAGGAGGGTTCAAATTTCCCACACATGCAACTCTTTCATGGCGTCGTAGATTGTCACTACGCGTGAAAGACTTAGCGCACACACTGCAGAATAACATATTGTTCAGATAATGTATCACTCACAAAAACTAATGAGGTTAATGTTGATGGTAGTATTGAGAGAGAACTATGCGCTCACGGACGCAGCTATTGGGTTTATATAAGGCAGAGTCATGACGTAACACACATCGCCCCACTTCTACCAATACGACCTCGACCGTCGAGATCTCTCTCTCTCTCTCTACAACTCAAGGACACTCACACTCAAGGTCAAGCAACGTCGCATACGGTGCAACCTTCCATCACGGTCAAGGCCTTTCTCTCTCTACAACTCGAGGTCACTCACTCACAAGGTCGCACATGCGGAGGTAACTCTACCCAAGAGCACTCCCGCCCAAGGTCACTCCTACTCAAGGTCACTACCGTCCAAGGCAACTCCTACTCAAGGTCACTCCTGTTCAAGGCCACTTCTGCATCGAGGTCACTCTGACACGAGGTCACTCCCGCCCAAGGTCACTCCTACTCAAGGTCACTACCGTACAAGGCCACTTCTGCATCGAGGTCACTCCGGTCCAAGGTCACTCCTGCTCCAAGGTCACTCCGCCCAAGGTCACTCCCGCCCAAGGTCACTCCGCCCAAGGTCAGAGGAGAGTGACCTCGGGCGGAGAGTCAGAAACGGCTAATCTTATCTACTTATAAACATAAAGTAAATCAAATCATCCGTTGACATTGAATTATAAAAACTGACCAAGGAACACTCATGAGAAACGTGCATATCCAATAAAATGTTGTATATAAATATTGGATGTGAGAGTTGCGAAGTTAGTCTGGTCTGGGGCTACTCTTGACTTGACAAGAGCTCGTCGTAATGGTCGTTATAATGTAAGTTGTTATTAGGTCTTTATATTCATTAGTGTTGATTCATATTTCTCATTGCTACCCATAATGTTTCATGCATGCTGCAATAAATATTGTTATGTTTGAATATAGTATCGTACTTTCAGTTACCCCTAAACTATTAGTGCCTATTATAATATTACCTCTGGCAGAATATTAAGCCAAGCATTACCCCCTATAAATCGATATGGTGGAGTCACCAACTCTACTATATCGTGATATGAATAAACTAACCATCTTTTTTATCGTAACATGGTGGAAACACAACTCTTTTATCGTGACAATAATATTCATTGATTACTTCCTAATATTTGATGGGTTTGTTGATGAATGACTCATCCTAAAACATAAAGTATATGATTTTCAAGTCGAGTTGATTCTAGGTAAACATATCTCGATTAATTAACGGAACATCTGTAATCTTCGATTTTCTGTGTCTTTAACCATCATGGAAGGTTTTGTGAATAGTGCGTCCGATGATTCAATGCTCTCATTAAGCAGTGGATACATCCATTTTTATCCATACTGTCTGTTTCTGAAATATCTCTTGAGACAGGGCGATGTTCATCTTCAATTTGCTACGCTATCGTGGAATAGGGTTGCCATTGAAGAATACCTTCATAATGTATGTATTGATCAAATTCAAAAAATGCCTGAATGAACATAATATTCGGCGGCTCTAAGCGTTTTCAGCAACCATTTTTCTTTCAATTTCCAACGAATTCGTTCTCTACTTCACGAAATCACTTGATTGAACTATCATTGAATGAAGATTTCCATGGAGATACCAAATATTGAATAGAACTAAGGTAGAGTATTTCATTTGGAATGATTGTAGCAAACTTCATAACTCAAACGTTGATCACCTTGAATATTAACTTCTTCCTCATGAATGTGGCAAATTGGAAATGAAAGTCGACCTGTTTTAGGAGCTTTCTCAGAAATTGAAAGTACTGGTGGAAATGAATGTATCCACTTCAAACTTTACGAGAGCACATGCATAACTCAATGGACGCACTACATGTAATATATTTTTGAATTCAGTTTCCAATGAAGATTCCAAAAATAAGTAATAATAGGGTGTTTCTCTGAAAATGTCACAGCAAACATTTTCGATCAATTCAAAGCCTGTATTTTGTATCGTTACCATAGCACCTAAACAAATTTCTTGGAAATTTTTTCCTCCTCGACGGGAGGGAGCATGAAATTACACTGGAATTTTTTTGACGTGCATATTATTAATAGAGACGGAAAATCTATTCAAGAAACGAAAAAGTCGATATGTTGTAATTTTAATCAACACACAAATGAAGAAGAAGAATTATTGATGCAATCGATTAACTGTCAAACACATAAAACATTTTCTGTAGGTACACCGCCTACTAAGTGAACTAATTATGAAAAAATAGACTGATAGCCCTGTGGATCATCGTATAAGAGGAACAATTTTAGTTTTATTATTCCAAATGGGAAGATCATGTGATAGGTACATGGCGAAAATAAAAGACAGATAGTTTCTGTACGAGTTGCTGAATTCGAAAAAATATGTTCCTATCTTAGATTCCTCAATATCATCAGTTATTTTCGAAGGTTTTCATCTTGACTCAAACAAGCTATTGACAACCTGCGGACATTGATCAGAACATCGAAACATTTTGAATAATATCGGTTTACTAATGATCTTTAAATTTCAAAGCCTACCAAGTGTCGATATACGATCGAATTCATGTCACAACCAACTTATTCTTTTTGAATAAAAAGCAATTCAACAGCGAATTAATAAATAAATGCCACTTTGTGATACATGGTTGGATAGAGAATTTCAAAGAAGAAAAGATAGACTGAAAAAATGTACAGGGTGACATTAAAAAAAAAGTCGGGGTCACTTCCAGTCAAACAGGTGGTTTAAAAAAATTGTCGTTAAGTTCGTAAAGTGCGCTACCATTTATTAAATACCCCCTGTGAATTTCAAAATTTAATTTCTTCAAATAAATAAACTACAGGCCGTCTCCTGTGTCACCCGGTATAGTGGTACGACATTCACTGCATAAAATTATTGAAGGTTGGTAGGGTAAAATTGGAGCAACAATTTCTTCTCAATAAGCGTTGAAACTTGCTATGTTACCATGAATAATATTTTTTTACGGCTATAACACAAGATTGCTCTTGTCTTACGTTGTTCGATACATGAATGAGGTACTTTGTATGTCATCAATTCTATTTCTGTATAAGATATCACAATGAGTCATTTCACGCACTGACAGCTCTGATGTCCTACTCGAATGATTGCAGGATTTGCCTATTATGGGTCTTGCTGCAAACTTCATTCTCGTAGGCAATCACTATCATACCGTGCTCGTTAAACAATAAACCATAGTTTTTAGAGGAATATCAGGATACTTGATTAGTTTTTCACAAAATTGTTTCGAAGAATAATGAATGTGGAAAATTTAAAATGAAAATCGACCTGTTTCAGGAGATTTCTCAGGAATTCATGGTTTGCCTAAAAATTTGTTCATTCTGTACTTCACCAATGTATGTGTAATGTCTTTCGCAGAACGTGCAGAACGTTTTGGCAAGTTTTCTAGAAGTCAGAACAGGGAAACATTCAATAAACTAACGTCTTAGGATACAGGGCGATAAGCTCGATATGAGAAAACAGTCCACAATGTCTCATGGCGATACAAAGAGGTAGTCTGCCCCATAACCACTCATCTGAATCCCCACATCATTACTTTCACGCGTTTTCGGAATATTATCCTTTATGTGAATAGATACAGAGCAGCAAATAATGAGTTCTCAATAATCCAATCTTCAATAATTATGTCAGGAAAATTGACAATTTATTTTTTTCAGATTATCTCCACCACCAAGATGTTACCAAAACTGTTTCAAATGGATGATTACAAAGAATGTTTGAAAAATGATAATACATTTTGTAAAGTGAATGCACACCTTCAGCCTAAGAATGCTGGTAATGAGATTTGGAAGTCTATACAAGTAAGATCGCTAACTTCTGCAGATGACCTTTAGGACTGAATGATATTTTGATAGTTTTTCTTCACAATGGAATTGACTCAATTTACTTGCAGCTCTAATTCGAAATTCCTTCTGAATTTATAATAACGAAGGAGAGCCATTTTTGTCTAGAGTCTATACAGGGATTGAAACCGTGAACCGAGCTCAATGGAAGGGATAGTTCATTGAAGTATAAGTATAGTTCGATGAATAATTTATTATGGCCCAAAATTTTATTAAGGAAGAAAATATATCCTTCCAAAGTTGATTAATTTAGAACAATAATTCCGCATAACTTCTAAATGGTAGAAGCCACCAGATAGAAAGTTTCTGAATGAATGAATGTTGATGAAATACATTTCTCTGACATGCTTTCACATTTCTGATACTGCAATAAGTGATGGTTTCAGAGGGTGCGTCATGATTTTTTGAAGACAACTTTTTTCCTTCTATTACTTTTGGTGAATATACAGAAGGCAGAAAAGTAGATGGTTGACTGCCGCGACTTTTATAACTCGTCTAGAATTTGGTTTTTTAACATACAAAGATATACACAAGTTGATTTGATGTGAACAGTACAAATATTCAGCCAAGACTGAGCTACGTGAGAAATGAATTATAAAAATGTGAAATAAAAGTTGCTGATTCAATTCCTGGAATCTGTCTCGCCTCTGGTGAGAACGCCTCGAAGTGCTGAGTTGCGGAATCGATGATGTAGCCCATTTCCCATGGGTTTCCTGGGAATATGGAATATAACTCGCGGCTGATGGTATCGAGCGTATCGAGGCTAGGAATTCAGCCAAGGCAGTCTATCTACATTTGCTGCCGTGTGAAACATAGCATTTTTTCTCCAAATTATATGAAAACAATTTTGGGTAATTTTTTTATTGGAAAGTCCATCATTTTGTGTTCACTTAATGTCAGTGTCAATTTTGATTACTAATTCCATTAGAATTTCTTGGAACGTTGCAAAGCAACAAACTTTTTCTGCCTAGGCAGTGAAAGTACACCTTTTCTGCCTGTTAAAGGGCAGAGAGAAGCCACTATCCCTGCCGCTTGGAGAAAAACACATTTTTTGTAATATTCACAAACATATGCCGTCAGTTTCAGTCAACGAATGTTCTATAACTTTAATTTTCCCAAATTAATGTCAATGTACTGTAAATTGTAGATGAAAAACTTACAGGATCTTATTCCTCTTGATTTCACACCAATGTTCCATCCCTGATAACACACTTATGTCCCATGGATATCCTTAGGACGTCCTGTCGGGACATTCAGGACGTCCATATGACGTTCGAATTTGGTATCGTGGACGTCCATTGGACGTCTGTGGGACGCACAAATGTTCCACTTGAGGACCAACTAGGGACGTCCTTGAGGGATGTCCCTGGGACAACTAACGAATACCTGAATCCTACAGTATTCCTTATCAAGCACTACAGCGGACATCCTTAGGACATCCATAGGACAACCTATCAGCAACGCTAAGGGAAATCAATTGGATGTCCATAGGATGTCTCAGAGACGTACGAATTATTCTTGAATTTGAATATTTCTGGGTCCCTCTAGGACCAGATCTTGCATAACTGATTAGGACATCCAGTTGAGTTGATGGTCCGTAGAAGGTCCCCAAAAAGTGTCCCATGGATGTCCAATGGACTTACGTGAAGGAAATTGACGAGGAGTACTTATAGCCTACAAGCAATTATTTATCGGCGAGGTGTAAGTTAACGTCCTCGCAGGGACAACATATTGAAAATACCAACTGGGACGTACATAGGACGTTATTTCAAGGACATTGGAAGAGTACAGTTAATTTACCGATTGGGACATCCGACGGATATCCCTAAAGGACATTCGAAGGATGTCCCTAAGGGACATTTCGATTGTTATACGATCCTGGAAATATTAAGGGCGCCTGTGCAGAGATATTTGAAGGAATGTATCATCAGGGACATTCCGTGGTTGTCTAGAAGGGACATTATATAAGATCTGAAGTCATGCCAGAATATGTACTACTCGGGACATCCGATGGATGTCCTGAAAGTAACGTTCAAAATCATATCCCATCAGGGACATGCCGAGGACGTCCTTGCATGGACATTCTACATTCTACAATATGTACCACGTGAGACGTATAAACGATGCTATTTCTAGGACATTTGAAATGATGTATCAGCTGAGACATTCCGTGGACGTCCTTGCTCGAACATTGCATGAGATGTACGGGATGGGACGTCCCAAGGACACTTATTTTTGGTTCGGGACATTCGGACGTGAATTGTACCAAATAGGGACGTCCCTAGGACGTTGTGTGCCATTAGGGATATAACTTGTACATAACATTCTCACATATTAATTAAGTATATAACATCTTCATAACTATGATTATGCTCATACAATATCTAGGGAATTATGTCAATTCTATATCAATTCATTCACAACAAATGTATCTTCAACAAACGGATGTATACAGCGACCAATATAATTGCAGTATTTCTCGAGTTCTCTCGACCGCTTACGAACGATAGATAGTTGAGCTGAACTCGCTTGACGGTCGAAAGGGGTCTTATCACTGTAACAGTTGGAAATAAAATGGCGTCAACGTTGTTTTGTTTTAATGTGTTATTGTCAGAGAAAGCTCTGAAATTGTTCTCTGATTTGTCGAGTTGAATAATATCTTCAATGCAAGTTTTTCTACATACAAGAAAACACGGCCTGCAAGGTAAATGGTGGTGGTATAAATTCATCGGCATTTGAGGTATGTACCTATCTAATTATTTGAATAGTTATCAGCCAATTCAGAATGTTGAAGAGATTTTGAGACAGAGTTTGAGTATTGTATTTTGAGAGGTGCTTGGCAGCAACTATCTCAGACGAATTTGGAGTTCAAGTAACATATCAGTATCACACCAAGGAGGGGATATAAAACTGGCAATTCCATCCTCTGAGAAGATCAAGTTATGTTGGTGAATTTTCATTATTTATGATGTATTTTCTATTCATTGAAGTATTAATTAGTCTGGTTATTATTTTTCATCTATATTGCAATTATATAAGTGAGACCTATATGATATCTATATTCTGACGTCACATTTACTACTTATTGATGTAACAATGATATAACTAGTATAACATAAAAGTGATTCAACATATGATGCAACGTGATGCAAACATTCTGCACAGTTAACTCATGAATTTTGAATCTACTCATCACTTCTTTTCTTACGAAACTGATCAACTAGATTTTGTGACGTTTATGCGTTAGTTACGTTATTGTATTTTCTGGGACCGTCAATCCTTAAATGTTGTAAACGATGATAGGAACGATGTATCCGAGCTGACAAAAGCGCTGACATTTGCTTGATAGCCGTTCACAATGCAGATGTGCTGTCGAATCAAATCTGACGTGGCTCAACATTTTCCATGAGAATGTGTCATTCTCGCCATTCATTATAATCCTGGCAGCATCTTGGCGCCCGAGAAGTGGTTCGAAATACACTATAAGCTGTAGGTGTCGCTCTCTCTATACCTGCACAGGTTTCGACCTTCGGAGAGTTCGTTCCCAACTTAGAAGTACTGATATACTGATTTTGATTTGTTTCACAATTATTGTTACTGATATCGCGTGACTACAAAAAGTCAAATATCTCGAAAACGGTTCAATATTGCGTATTTTGATAGGATATCCTTTGTTATAGATAGAATCTTCGGTGCTTCATCGTATGCTCCTATTTTTCCACCAAAACGAATACAAGGAAAAAATCATCACACACCCTCTGAAAACACCCTTTGAAATAATATCATGAATGTAGAAGAGGAAAATTCATAGCAACAGCATTCATTTACGCAGATAATGTCAATCTGATGACTTCATTCGTTTAGAACTTATGCGAAAGAATCATTTTAATTTTATCAACTTTGGGAGGATATAATATATCTTCCTTAAAATGCATTTTGAGCAATAAGTTTATCTATCAAGGTTCAATCAATTTTCAACGTACTATCACCTCAATGAAATAAAGTTCACACATTTGACTCACCCTGTATATTGAACTATTTTGGTTCATTTCACCAATATGATGGGCTATGGCCTCGCCTGCATCAATATGTGAGGTGAAAAATCATGATTCTATTATAGTTTCATCAGTTCTTCTCCAGTTGCGAGTCGCTAATATAGACACTATTTCGAATTCATCCAACTGTGACTGATTTGCATGCATTAAGATGATACTCTTGTTATCAAAATTACAAACTTGATATTTAGCGTGTTTTGTTCCAATTGTGATAAAAGGTTCCACCGTTGAAGATATTGATTGAATCTAGCGATTTACAAACAATTTTTTTTTCTCGATAACGGTCGCAAATGGAATAAAATTACATGAGTTACAAAAATTTCCTAACGGAACAAGAGCTAATTTTGTATTTTAATTTCTGCCAGAGGTGTACCACGTATACAAGTCCTAGATAGGGTTGTCACCTGTAGTGCATGCAATCGATTCACAAGAGCAGTTTTCCAGGCTACAAATCCAGCCTGTGTTAGAAATCCAGGATTCCTAGATCAGAGTCACATCAAGTTTTTCACTGGCGAACCTCCTGCGAAGGAAGAAAGAGGCCGCTTTGGCATGTTGGATGTTTGCCTGAAGGAACGAGATGTGGGTAGTCATCTTTCCTACGGAGTGGATGGGCAAGTAGGATTGCCTTTCCCTCTTGGGTCAGGTTCTAGTCTACGCCGTTTTTTTGACGCCTTTCCTGTAATGGTCGTTTTGGTTTTGTCGAAAGTTTTGACAGCTGTCCTCGAGCTCGCATTCTCCTCCAATGTGGATTCATCAACCATTTCAGGTCTTGCCATTCCGCCCAAAGACTCTGGCTCTGCTCTCGATACCGAATTTTTCTTCGTATTCTTGAACCGGAATTGCACCTGTCGAAAGTCGAAGTGTGAGCGGAAGTGTAGCTGCTCCAGGTCCCTAATGGTTTCATCTTTCATTGAAAATGTCCACGTCTGTCTCGTAACTGCGTTATCCCTGTTTTGTACAGTCTACTCCTGGGTGGGCAGTGTATGGTTCATCTTTCGTAAACGATTTGTCACCTGTTTCCCCGTCAGTCTGGGCAGCCCTTCATCATCTGGGATGAAGGCCACGTAGACGTAGGGTTTAGGTATATAATCCTTTTTCACCAGCTTCAACTTGGCACCTTCCCATGGCTGGAGGCAGAATAGATTTCCTCCAGCCACTGGGCAGTCACCTTGTCAGCGCAGGTGAGTAGTCCAGGCCGAATGGTGCAGCTCTGGACCGGACTTGGGGACCATCGTCCGGTAGTTTGTCTACAGTGACCATAACGTATCGCTGTAGCAATCGGAGTTGGTTGTTTGATACCTAAGCGTCGAAGTGCTCCAGGTGGATTATTCCCACCCCTACTCTATAACGGTTTTTTCCTTTTGGGACACTTCATGGTACGGGGCTTTTGTGCCGCCGCCTCTGTAGTGCTGCCCTGGTGCATGGGTGACTTTTTTTCTGTAGGGTCGTTTTCCTCGAGAGAGGGGGATTCCAAAGGTTTCCTCTTGGTCTCCTGCGAAATTGGAGAGCCTGAAGGGTCGAAAGTGGATGCCTATTGGCACTGGTTTCAAATTGCCCCCGTTGTCGATAACAGAGTCTTTTTTTCCGTTATTCATTCTGTTCATACGAGTAGCATGGGGAAGTGGTCAGCTACAGCAGAGCCCCGCTTCTTCGCAGCAAGGGGAGGAACTACTAGGAGGTCGCCTGAAATTCTAGAGGCTCCATGGGAACAAAATATTGTACATGTCCGAGTTGGAAATGCTGAAAATGTTCTTCTCCACACTTTTTTCTATGCAATTCTCGGCAGTTTGACCAGAAAATATGAGGATATCATCAGTGGCCAGGTAGCCGTGCGGACAGAGTGTCTATATTCTAATTCGCATTCGCTTGCCGGTCGTGGGTTCGATCCCCGTCGACTGCAGAAATTTTTCTGATGGCCTAAGAAAGTGTTTGGGATCACACGTTAAAAGGTAAGGCCCCCGTCATTCCTTGCTCGCACAAGACTTTCGAAGACTTTTGAGGGTTGCTCGTAAGGGGGCAACCGAATGATGGATAGAACAAACAAACAAAACAAAAATCATCATTTTCACCCGAACATTAAACTCCTGATCAGTTTTGGAAGCACTCACCATTCTCGAGATAAATCAATTCCAAAAGTGTGCTGCGTAATGAAAAAAGTACTTTTTGCAATGGGGTACTCACTATGATATTTTTCGAATTTTCCATCACAAGAATATAGTGAAAACAGGGTATTTTATATCGAGGACTATTTTTTGGGAAAACTTGGTACCTAGTTACACTATTATAAGGAATATATCACTATTTTTGTTACGCCGCAGATTGCTATCGAAACTGAACAGGAGTATCATTTTTTGATAAAAATGATGATATTTTCATATTAGGGGAGAGCTTACGAATGGTGGATCTCTAAGCATTTTTTTCTATAAGTAGACTACCCAGCAAACAATATTACATGAGCAATGTCACCCTAGTGAACTATCATTGGCTTAATATTGGCATTTTTAAATGGTATATCACAAAAGTTGCCTACCGGCCTACTCAACGCCAATATTGGCAAAGCAGTACTTCCATTAATTGCGTATTGTTGGCCCAGTGTTGATAGACTGGCGTATTTTCAGTGCATTCCCAGTAAAAATTGGGTGAAAGACCTATGGAAAATGCAACTGAGAGTCTGATGGTCCATTATCATTTCATTGAGGATTTATGACATTGAGGAACCTATATATGCATTATTCATCGTTCAACCAGTGATCACCATAGAATGGATAATACACAATAAACACATTATACACATTATACACATTGATCACCCTATGCTGTGAATGTAGAGTAGTCCATGATTCACATGAATCCATAGGAAATATACTATTGTACCAGCATAATGATACTGCAACATACGTATTCAATATGATTGAAACAGTAATAGACATGTACTTTCTGATCCCCAAAGAATAGTGCCAGCAGTATGCTATCGATTGAATCAATGAATCATTGATTTGCCACCTATGTCATGTTTGCTGGGTATTTTATGGCAATTGATCACAAAAACGAGGAAACGAATGAACATGATATTCCTGTTGTTGAAAAACAAACTTAACATTTCATTCGAAGGATAAAAAAATTTTGAATGGCTACATTACCCCAGATAGTTGGAGTTATGGCAGATGATCACAATGTCCACGAAACTTTATTTCCACAAGTAAACATTTTTTTTCAGGATCAGCACATGATTCATGTGCCTAATTGTCACAGATACTGCATTTCAACCAGATATCTGCATTCTTCCTGTATTCGCTACACAATAAACATATATTCTGAAACTACAGCATCTTTGTCATTGTGTGCAAGCAATGCAAGATGCTTTTTTTCAGCCTACGATGGCATCTGGAAGATTCTCTATTGCTCAACATAATGTTTCATTCAGAAATGGGGTAATAGTGGCCTGCCAGCATTTCCCTGACACGACCAGCCACCATAACCCCAACAAACATTTTTTCAATCGACATTCATGAAAGAGAACTTATTGTAACTAGAGCTACTCATTGTTCATGAAGTTTCAGTACATTTTTTATTCTGATTCTCGTAATGTTCGTCTTCATCAACAATATCTAACGCGTCATATAATAGAAATTTGATATCGACGATTCTGGGGCAAATTGAACGAGTTTGAGAAAATAGTTAAACTTTTGGGGTAATAGCAGCCAATGGTTTTCAAAAAACTTCTTGTTTCAATCTACTCCTGAAGATGCTAACATATTTAGTGAAACACGTGTCGAGGCGTTCATTACAAAATCGGTTTGGATAGTGGTTGAACAGTATAGTGTATCACTGATTTCGTTTTCATTAATTTTCTTGATTTATATCACAGGAAAAATATCGGAATTACGTGTAGGCATGTATTATATGATGCCAAAAGAGTTAGAATTGGCAGAAATATTATACAGTGAAGACGTAAAAAGTCCTCCCTTTCCCTCAACCTTTGAACGGAACAAGCTAGCGAGGTCGAGTAAAATTCAGGCAGAAAGGTACTTCTTCCACTACTATTTGGCATGAGAATGGTTGTGGTCACGTGACCTTGTGTCAAGTGGGCACCATCAACTTTTTTTCTCAAATATGAAGAGGGGTACCACTCGCCTTGTTTTGGAGGCCTTCCGATTCTTCTCCCAACTTCGCTTTGTTTGTGCAAATCGGTCAAGCCGATTTATACTTAGTACTGCCTGATTCCTCGAATTCTAGTGGGCATGAACTGACCTCCTGTGCAAGCGGCCATACTGTAATCATAATTATTATAATAATAATTCCTGATTTTCAATCCGAAAACGTGCTGCTAATTTGAGAATATTCACACTCTCATTCATAATTCAAGAATCTGCATAGTAATACAAACCTGAAAGAAAACGTTATTTGTTGTCTGTTATTTTCAGTGATGACGCGTATACTTCTGGTCTCTCGACACGATATTGTGTTATGAACAGATTAACTGAACTGATATCGATCTATATAGTAGAAGTAAATAGTATCCCAAAGTGGAATGGATATGATTCAGGAAATGTGATCCACTCGGTCATCTCCAATATTCATTCACAGGATTATTCTGGAAATGACTCAGTGTGTCTTACCCCCTTTTGATCCGGATGATAAAATGAACTATTGATTATGATGCATGCACGATGATAGGTGATGGTTTTGATGCTCCCTTTATTTCAGGATTCTTTGAAAAACCAGGACCATTTCGATCATAGTATACTGCATAGAGGGTATTGCCTAAATAGCCAGGAAGCTCGTGATGTGGAATCAGTCAAGAGATATTCTGAATATCTAACGAACAGAGAGATAACTAACACGAATTTAACAGCCACAATTGAAGTATTAGCTTGCACTGATAGTCACCTTACAATATCGTCATTTGATATACTATTCATGTGAGTATGAATTCTCTTTATATCAGCTAATATTTGTTCACAAAGTTATGTAATTTTGGATCCAGACTATTATTTTCATTCGAAGATATAGAATTGAACTCCAGGAGAATGGTTTTATTCAGGTAAAATGAAAGACCATGAGGTAGTGAGTATAACAAGGACCCATTCAAGAAGTCAACATTTTCTTTATCACTAGTGGGTATTAGACATATTTGAAGAGTTTGTGGTCAGCAGATGGAGATCTGGTGGGTCGATAATTGATTGTAATCGGAGGCAGCAGCAGAAGGCAGCTGCAGGCAGTAGGTGATATTATGGGCCTTTCCCAATCTGAAAGAGATAAGCCATTTATCATCTTCAAAATTTCTGGAATAATGATCACACAACACCGAGAGCTTATTTCTCATAGCAGCGTAGAGATAAGGAAGAAACATTCGATGAATCTGAGAATGATAGAAAAGCTTCATAGGAGATTCATCAGTGAATCTTGTTATACCGGGTGTCAACGAATCTATTAGACAAGTCATAACTTCTAGACCATCAGGTGTATCAGAATGAGATTTGGTATAGGTAGATGGTATGTGACGAGGAGATTTTTCACATATTTTTCACTCTCTGGTCACTCCCGGTGTCACCGGAAATGGCTCCGGTTCTGAATTTTTAAATGGCACACCCTGTATATTGTAACATTTTTGGATTTCTGAGACAATTCTAGATCAGAATATGACATTTTCGAAAGCTTTCATGCCTACTCGATTTTTTCATGATAGATATGAATAAGACAAGTTGGCAAAATTACATTTTCTTGTCTAACTATTATTTTTCAAATGGCGACCATGTTTTGACAAGCACTTTCCGAAAAAAGGATATTTTGACGAATCTAACGATACTAATTTATTAGCGATTGGATTACAAATTAGAACATAAATTGAATATTACTGAGGTCCTTATAGATTAGTTTACTTCCGATTATGGCCACCTAGATGTAATTTCGAAAGTGACTCCGAAAAAATTAAGTAGGCATGAAAACTTTCGAAAATATCACATTCTGATCTGGAATTGTCTCAGAAATTCAGAAATGTTACAATATACAGGGTGTTTCATTTAAAAATATAGAACCGGAGCCATTTCCGGTGAAACCGGAAATGAAAAATATGTGAAAAGTCTCCTCTTCACATACCATTCACCTATACCAAGTCTCATTCTGATTCACCTAATGGTCTAGAAGTTAAGACTTGTCTAATAGATTCGTTGACACCCGGTATATTCATACGGTTACGTTATTGGTGAGTAGAAGTGGACAGTGACACTATCTTTTTATGATCTGATTCATTCTAATAAAGAGAACATTCATTCACTACTGACTTGCTATTACTAATTATTTCGAGTGTTTTGAAACACATGGTATACATAAACTGCTGCCTCACTGACACTTAATGATTGACTGTCTGCTGCTGTGCGAGCTGCTTCTTCGTAAATATTGGTTGCCTTGGCTTCTTGATGATTTTATCGTTTTTCATGCGCTACTTCAGGTCGCGTGCAAATTTGACAAATGACCGACCCTGCAGGTGATATAACCCCACTTTTCCCTTTGGTTTACAGAGGAATAAAATAGTTTTTCACAAATATTTCGCTATACGAATCATGTTTCTCGGGCTATTCATTCATTCCAGCATGCCATCACATTGTACTGTTATACAATTGAACAAAAGATGCAACAAACGTCTCTCGCCAGTCATTGAAATAGTAGCATGCTGCCGTGCTACGAAAAATCTCAGGGTTATCAAAACTTTTTAAGGTGTTATGAGGAAGGAAAATATCGTAACTGCTTGAGGAGGGACTACTCTTGACCTAACTCGACCTGTATAAACCTCATTCCTGAAAAAGATATTTTTTGAAAAATAACTTCGGTGTTAACAAAAGGTTATAGGTATGCGAAAAAATAATATCGTTTCTGCATAAGAAAAGCGACTTCTTTCAACTGCACTTGTCCTAAATGATGCTTTTTCTGGAAAATATATTTTTCGAATATTTACTTGTGGAAAAAATTCGAAAAATATCAAAGTGAAATTGACGACTCGCAGGGAATTGACCACGAGCCATTACGAGGGTGTCAGATACACAGACCACAGAGCAATCGCGCAAATCGAGAGTTCTAACTATGAAAAAGAAAGGAATATCGTGTGCTGACTTGTTTATCACAACAAGCAGCACAGCAGCACGATTTTTCAGGTGAGTGGTCCTAAAGTGATGTAGTCACCCACATAGTTTTAGTTCACAAATTCTTTCTGCAACTGGAGCTCTTAGATCATAACATATTAATTTCTCTATAGAATCCCCCAAACTCCTACAACACCATATTCGTCAACATTTCACGAAGCATTTGAGACCAGTCCTTTCATTCGATTGCAGGAATCCAAGCTTCTCGCTTTCTCCTGGAAACTTAACAAGTTTTTTTATTTTCTCTCATATGCAGAAGGAATCCCTTTTTTGTGTATTATACAACAGCACAATGTGATGGCATGCTTGAATAGACCAGAATAATTCTGAAACATCTATTCCAATTCTATGTATGAACAAATAATAGAAGAACATATAAACTCCCTCTCTATTATTTCCATCGATTGTTCGAGAGTCTTCCATCGCCACAATATTTCATATTGGGTGGTCGAAAATACGATGGTACATCTTAAAATCATTAGGATGTTTGAGAACAATCTTGAACGCGTGGAACAGGGAGATAGTTGTATTCTCACCTACTTGATCATGTTCCAGTCATTATCAGGGGAATATCATTTCACAGCCCTCTTCTCAAAACGCATATATCTCCTGGAATGTACTTTCATCGTTATGAAGGTAGAGACAACTGGTATCATTTTCACAACGTGAAGTACGTTATGATGAATTCCCTCTGGGGTTTCAACCAACATACCAGAATCCCAACCCTGGTGCATCAAAACACAACTTTCAGTATGTATCTCGATATTCTCCAACCTAGCCCATGCAGAGAACAAGCAGGCTTTGGAACAGCTATTTCTTGTATGCCCTTAGCGTATCTTCTCGGTGGGTTTTTTAGATGATGCTACTCTCGTTGTTAGATGAAATCATCATCTCCGAGGCTGGAACGATGGAAAGAGCATGTTATCGAAGCTCCTTCAACTCACCAAATTACTTTATTAACATATCGGCTATTCCATGGGGAATCTGAAGATCCTGGGTAATGCATTGAGCTAGTGCGTAATCTCTAGGTGTGGCGAAAGGTCGCGATACTTTGTCTTCCGATTTACAACTGTTTGTTCCAATAGACCGATTCATAAATATAGACATTTCAAGCTCTGATTTTTCTATCTAAAGAAAACCAACTTACACTGATCATGTTATTCCATTTTGTTCTTGCCATCCTATTTTCCACAAATTTGCTATACCATCACCATTTCCTCTAATCTCTGAAACAAAATTCAATGACAATCACAAAATGCAGATCTCGTTTTGCCTCAATTCCGTTTCTTGGTAAGGTTTGATATGATATAAGACATATTTTTGGGTGTAGACATCAGCATTTCATATCACATCATGGACTCTATCGCTCGCACTTTGGTCGACACCAAGTGTTTATGAAGTTCCATGCTCAGATGGTGAAGACCAATACATAGGTCAGATCGCTAGACGGATTCATACCAGAGTTGATGAACATCTTTGAATAATTGGAATATTGTCGATCCCTTATATTTTGTTCTGGAATTATTCTTATCCGTCATCCCGTTGCTCCCTTACGAGCAACCCTCAGAAGCATTGTGTGACCTAGGAATGACAGGAGCCTAACCTCCTATCGTGTTTTTCCAAAAAATTTTCTCAGGTCATCAGAGAAATGTTTGCAATCGTGGGAATGGAACCCTCGAACCGGCAATCCAAAGTAAATTGAATACTAACGCCTCTACCACGAGCCTACATGGCCATGAGTATATCACAAAAAGTTCGTTCGTGAATCTCCAATCACCAGCATTCCCTCGATATCAACAACGACCTGGAAACTTTCCATATCAGTCAAAAAGGTACTCTTCTCGACTTATTTGAAATTTTAGAAATTAATGCATCCTTGAATGACCCCAATATTATCTCACTTATTCAGCAAACTTATTCTGATTGCCAAACATTCTCCAGTTCTCTGGTTTTTCATCAGACGATTTATTCAATAAAATAATTTTTTGTCTTTTATCTTTGAGAGCTTTCGTCCTGCTTTGGTCTATACTACTCGCCTTTTAGATTTCAATCAAAATATACCTATGTACCTATCTCCTCTTTCTTTCAGCTGGAGTGTGGTGCTTCTCTTCGTCCACTATTATTCATCTACGGACAGTTGACATTTGTCACTGTCTCATGTGTTTTGTGGATTGCTGAGAGCGCCACTTGTCCTCCATCACCTGATGATGTATGTTATCTATTTTTGGGTATTAACCTGACCCTTCAACCACTGCTTCGCACAAAAATTTTAATCATTGATTTCTTCATGATATTATTTTTTCATTGGGTAAATTCTTTGTTTCATATAATTTTCATGATCAACTTGTAATCATATCATAGGTTCTTTCGATTGTGAGGATGATAGGCAGACGATTTTCGAACTTTGTTAGCATCTTCTGAATATTCAAAGAATCGAATTGATTAGTTGTATAACTCTGTAGTTCTTGTATTTTGTCAAAGTTTACAGTTTTCGATATATCAGAATAATTGTTAAAAGTTATTTCAATCACTTGTGAACAGATGGGAGAAGTGAGATTTTTCAATATTTTGCCTACTAATTTCTTCAAATGAGAATCTTAGTATTACTATATAAGAAGGTATGTATTTTAGGTGGGGACAATGTGTCATTGATGATTACTCAGATATTTCTCTTTCAGATTCAGGTTTCTGATTTGTCTCTACCATAAACATCTTGGAATAATACTCATATTTCAATTTTGAGATACTAGGAAAGGAAATCTCACAGTGAATCTAGGAAGATGTGAAGTATTTTCATAACAGAAAACGAAAACGAAGGAATTCTGAATGCATAGGTTGAAGTAATGTGAATCTTTGGTGAAGTAAAATAGTGTTAATGGCTTTTATACAGCGAGGGGATACTAACTCATTTGAAAATTTTCACAAATCATCCAGATTTTCTCCAATCCATCCCAATATATCAATCTCATTTCATTCGGAATCAAAAACTATTACTTTGATGAGAGGTCATTGAGGTGAAGATTTCGAAGGACCATATAGGGTTGAGTTTGGTTGACCAGAAGATACTTTTTCCATTACGGGTGTTCGTTAATTCGTTACCATAAACTTGATGACATACAAAACTGAAACAAATTTAGATATATTGATATATTGACAACTCGTCAGAACTTATAGGGAAACTGTAGATGATTATTTCCAAGTTGATAATGGCAGTTTGGATTCACTCACCGAAATCGATATCATTTTCGAGAAATGCTCTTGTGGAAGAAACTGAAGGAAGCACAGCCATGAGCTGTTGGACATGTCTAGCTTCAAATTGATGACACCTCACACAATCTTTGATAACCCTTTTGATTCGTCGTAAACCATTTATGGGCCATAATCGTAACCTGAGATTACAAAACAAATTTTGTGGTCCAGCATGATTGAGGAGTATAGGTATGTTATTTTCTGATGATGAGTGTGACAAGGTCATCTTTGGTGGGCAACGATAGAGGATGTTCTTGAGAGATGAATAGACGTGCTTCATTGAGCCTGCCACCTACACGTAATGTACCTGCTTTGCTCAAAAATGGTGTTGAGAGCAAAATGAAACAACCATTTGATAGAGTTTTATTGTGAGAACGAAGAGTTATTTCCTTTGGTGAGTGTTGTACTTGAATCATTTTCACAACGACCGTTAAAGAAGAATCTGATTCTGAACAGTGAGTGGATCGACAAGGTCTTTTTAGTGGGCTCACAATTATAAACAAATCTGAAACAGTGAGCAATTGAATGTTGCTTGCGAATGAAATTCAAAAATCGTAAAAAAGTTGAGAGAATATCAGAATCAACATGGAGCTGGGAAATTATTGTTCTTTGTTCTGGTAGAGATAATGGTATTTCCAATTGGTGCGGATTAAGTACCATACTCAAAAAGCATGACAGATGGACTTATCAGGTGATATACAGAAAAATTAGTGGATAACGGAAAATCGATAAAATATTCAGAGGGTCACTACGATGCTACAAAAATTTACAAAGACCCTGTACTTTTCCTAATGCCTGGGAATCGAAGAAATTCTAGATTGATGGAATTTTGCAATATTTTCCATGATAAGTTCAATGGAATAGCCGATGAAGTTCACTGATGCCTTCAAAATTCTTGTTTAAACTATTTATTTTTGCTTTTTGTTGTATGATGAATTCACATTCATCATACAGGGCGTGGAAGGAAATTCTGAATTGGGACTCTATCACGAATCTGCGATTAGAGGTCTATAAAAATCATAAGTTTCCATCGTTCAAGTTTGAACCCCCTGATTGAGTATAAAAGTATTGAGAAGGAATATTCTCAGATGAATTATGAACATACAAAAATGGATATATATTTATTTGAAGCAATACAGAGTGAAGTAGTTGTTTTCTATCGAATGAACTGAAGAAGAGTAGATATTCTCATCACATAGAGAATGCGAATTCTCAATGTATTGCTTTATATAAATATATATCCATTTTTGTATGTTCATAATTTATCTGAGAATATTCCTTCTCAACACTTAAACTATTTAGTTTAATTTTTTTTTTAAATATCTCTAATCCCTTTTTTCAGAATCATCGTCGTGATATATGGCATTTTCATATCGATAGCAACCTATGAAGACATCAGGAGGAAAAAAACAGGAAACGGTGAGTGAATTGAGTATTATCAATGAAAACTATAAAAAAAGGAAAATTCAAAATTCCTATCATTAATTATAGCTCATGAAATGAAGAATATACAATGGAGTGTAATCATCATGGATCATGGAAAAAATGATATTCACGTTGTTTCAATGATATCTAATTATAGGTCCAAAAATGAAACAACAAAATCATTTATTTCTGGTGTTGAGTTAGCGGGAATTCGGTCGAAATGTTGAAGAAAACCAATGTTTAAATTGTCGACGTTTCGAAACTTTATTGTTTCATCTTCAGGACACTGAAGTAAAAACAAGAACATACATATTGAAATGATATTTTAAAATGAGGGGTTTTGATGAAAGCAAAATAAGTTATGTGAAATAACAATCGTTGAAAATAAAACATTTCTCACACTTTACAGAAACCAACATTGATAGATACTTACATTTAGGGTGGCTTTCCGGGTTCAAAAATAGTGAAATAAATAAAATCGACATAAAGTATGAATACGTACACACAGGTTCATGAAAGACCTTAACACACAGGCTTGTGGGATTTTTCATTGTTGCCTGGCAGAACATTGCAAGTCATCACTCCATACTTTTGACTTCAATTCTGTTAGTATTATAGGACAACAGACAATATTGAAAAAAAGACTCTTGAACGAAATGATTGAAATAACAAAACATGGAACAAAATGTTCTAACAAAAGATCGGATATTGAGAAGTTACACACCTCATATTTCAATTTAATAGAAAAAATCAAACAATAATTCCGAATCATCAGCAGGCGACTCTTTCCAATCCCGATTATCATCTCTTTCACGAGCCTTTATGGCAATATAAAGAAACGATTCAACGACAGTTCAGTTTGTTCATTCCTTCATGTTCGTGTCTGTGTTAAGGTCTTTCATGAACCTGTGTGTACGTATTTATACTTTATGTCGATTTCATTTATTTCACTATTTTTAAACCCGGAAAGCCACCCTAAATGTAATTATCTATCAATGTTGTTTTCTGTAAAGTGTGATAAGTGTTTTATTTTCAACGATTGTTATTTTACATAACTTTTTTAGCTTTTATCAAAACTCCTCATTTTAAAATATCATTTTAATATGTATGTTCTTGTTTTTACTTCAGTGTCCTGAAGATGAAACAATAAAGTTTCGGAACGTCGACAATTTAAAAATTGGTTTTCTTTCACATTTCGACCGAATTCCCGCCAACTCAACACCAGAAATCATATTCAACGGTCGTCATTCTATTCAAAAATCATTTATGTTTTTATTTCCATTTTGATGATGATTATGTGTGGCGTCGGAAAAATAGTAATCCGGCCTTGATAAATATTTGGGAAGTAGTTAGCCTATTTGAATGAGGTAAAGAAATAATCCTCCAATCTCAAGATGATATAGGGTGTTGATTATTCAATGGGCAATTCTAATAGAATCCTATAGAATACTGAATTTCATCGTTGAAACTTTCAGAGGACGTAGAGGAATTCATGGAATTTTCACAAAGTTCCATATTTTTTTTTAAGATATAGACGATATCGATCGATTCAAGAAGGAATTCTCATTTTCATAGTGATCACATTCAGGGATGGCTTGATATATCGGGCGAGCGCTTATCCCTGCTATAATCTAACATATTAGTAGTGACATTCTCTGTAGGATATAGACTGCCTTATTTGGTTACAGTCCAGATGTTTGGTATCTGTTTGGCAAAACTCAATGAGATTCCAATGTGAGATTCCGGTCTGATGGAATCACTTGCGGCACCCGCCCTTGCAAGTGAACCTGATCTTCCATCTGTCCATCAGTAACTCAGACCAGAGATGATTTGTTACGTCTTTTTATTGCGAAGTACCTACAAGCTAAGTGATTCCAGAACCGCTTAGATATTCGAGAATATTTTGAAATTTTCATAGTTGATTCCCTTCAATCTCTTTAGGCATAAATCTCTCACTAGAAAACCGTCACCATATAGAACCCTACCAAAGTTGATATTTCGGATCTGGGTCTGCCTCTGTATACACCCGCACCAGAGCCTGGAGGTGTTTTTCTATCTGTGAACAGTTATCTGCTCTCAGTAATAAAGCAGGTCATAGTAACAACTGTCGGAGACATCACGCCCGAGGTCATTTCCAGAATTCTGTGCATGAGTATTTCACTATACATAATTCTGTATTTTGTCCATCTTGCCTATCTGTTCAAAAACATTTCCATGACTGCTGACGGTGTGGAGATGGGGCTGATGACCCTAGTGATCGCAAACAAGTCTCTCTTTGTATACTAGAGAGCTTTTTCCACGCCTTCTGCTATGAGCCTTTCGATATCCGAGAAATAGCCCCAAATGAGATAATTGGCCTTATGATCATCACATACAGGGAACATCTTCATGAGTTGAAACGATCTATTCATGGGGAAATAAAATTAGCACGATTCTGCAAATTCATAGTTTCATTGTAGGTAACATCGAGAATCCAACTAGAATGTTCTCATTAGTATGGAGCTTCCGGGTTTCCAGAAGAGGTGTCATCTTTGTTATATTGTATGAGACACCCTAGGTTCAACAACAATTTCAAATTCCTCTTATGGTCCTGATTCAAATTTATGTATCATATCCAATGCATTGAATGAACTGTACTTGAATTGTTCTAGTTTATCTAGAAAAAGTGACTATGCAGCCTAGCGAACATTCGCCATTTTAATGTAAATTGCAAATTATGAGTGATGTGCAGTAGAAAATTCTTGAATATTAAAGGTTGACAGGATCATTTACCATAATCACAACCACTGATTGAAGTTTTTTCTTCATATGGGGGTTCCTTCTGCCCAATGATGCAGGTTGTGAAAGTAATCAATTCCTTCACGGGGAAAGTTAAATTTATGTCGGCATTTGAAGTGAATCGACGAAAATGCGTCTTCGAACTGAGTCTCCGTCTTCAAGTTCTTGCACGCAGATGTAGTGGAATAGATGCATTTTCTCAGAGTTGAGAGCTGACCATACCATTCATGTAGATAGAATCGGCTTCGAAATCAACAAGAATTTGTGGATTCACTCCAAGGTGATATTGTTGAATGCTCGCTCTAGGATTCGTGTGATGTAACCTACTAGTTTCATTTATTTTTATTATTATTATACTATTCATTGTGTTATTTTTCATGATACAATTGTTGAGCAGCAGCTGCGTTCCTGTTATCTCTGCCGTAATTCGAAATTTTCCCAGCTAATTCAACATTGAAAAAATCAGTCAATTGATTGAATTGTTCAGAAAATGTACAGAATGGCATTCATCAATTGATAATTTGGCAAATTTTGAAAAATTTGTTTTCCATCACATAGCAATAATGTAGCTATTATATAGGGACATGATAATAACAAAAAAGTCGGAAAAGGATACTAGAGTTATTCGTTTTGTTAATTCTCTTGAGCACAAAAATTTCCTTCATCAAATGTAGATCCCATCACGAATTTCATATCGATGAAATACATATTCTCTTTCTCAAGAAAAAAAAAACACAGAAACACAATATGTTTGACAAAACTTTCATTGAAACTGATATGGACCCATTCACCAAATTCGGTCAAGTTCATAAAAACGATGATTTTTCGAAAAGTTTCACACTTTGTAAATTAGTAGGTATATATGGTTAAATATGTTCAGTAGTAATACTTTACGTACTTTCAAAATATTCGGGATATACATCGATAACTTGTTTCATGATCACAAAGAGTGTTTGTTTGACGATTTATTATTATGCAGGAAGTTTGAAATGTATAACCATGAATTGTTTGGAGTTTGAATTATATTTGATGCAACTATTTTCTGAGTAGTTCTGAACGAACGTCAACATCTCACGACGCGCTTTGTTCATGTGTAAAGATATGAATTGATGGTTACTATAGAAATAATTTCAAATTTCTGATTGGCAGTGTTACTCTATGTACAGGGTCTCTATAAATGATCGTAACATGGTAGTGGCTGTTGAATTTTTTTTCCATTTGCCGCTTTTTACTAATGCTGTTAACAATATTTAACGATCAAAAAGAGAGGAAATGATCATATACAGGATCTTTTTTTATATCGTTTTGCATACACATATGGAAATGTATCTCAAAGAAAGGAGAGTCCAATATTGGAGTTTGAAAAGTAAAGGAACAAATCAAAAATATTTATTGAAGAAGTTATAAATAACGGTTAATTTCATCAACCTACATCAAATGTTCAAAATGTTCTCCGTTGTTCTCCTAGCATTTCTAAACTGTTCGTCGTTTTGTTGTCGAAAATGTTCCTCAGCATTTCCGGGCCAATATTTTGGCAGCAATATTTTCTTGAGCCCTTTATGGCATGTATTCAGTGACACACCAGATTGTTAAGATAATCTCTTCAATGACGTTTGGAGATTTTGCTCCACACGCGCACTTAGATTTTCGACAACTTCTTTCGATATTTGGGGCCTTCCTGTTGATTTCTTTTTATCAAACGTTTCCAGTTTGGATGAATCTGTTAATCACTGTTCTGATGTGGACGTTCAAAAAAGATTCTTGAATCTGTACATTGGGATATTTCGCCAGGAACTCAATAAGACATTACAATAAATGTTTTCTGCTCCGAAAAATAAGCCATCCCTCTTTTCAACACGACTATCACGAAACAGAATCGTTTGAAAATTTTAACGAAAAACTGACAATTGTGAGTTTATCACCTAATGACAGTGTAATGATTGATGTCAGAAATTAAATTCGAATGTGTGAATCTCCATAAATGAAAGGCGGCAAATGGAGAAAATGTTTCAACGGCTCCTACGATGTTACGATCATTTATAGAAACCCTGTATATCCACGTATATTGGAAATTATACAAGGTAGCATAAGTGTAGAATCACGATCAACAATTAGTATACACACACGCAAATGAAGTTGTATGGTGATACGTGCTGCTCGACTTGCTCCGCAGAAAAACACTTGAGGTACTCTGGACAATGTCATCTGGTAGTCGAAAGACAACAGGCGAAAAACAGAAATGACGTTGAATTATACAAAATCATACTACTATGTTATAAAGATACACATTTAGTTCGCAGTATAAGACAACCCAACAATTTTTCAGCCAGCCTTGGATTCTATAAACAGTTTTCTTTGTACCAGAGTTGGAAGAAGAGGGTGATACCATTGAAAAATGATGACTCAAAGAAACTCAAGTCCATACAGGGGATCAGAACTTACAATTTTCTGTTGATTGTTCTTGTACATACGAAGATGGGTTTTCTCTTTCACTATGTCGAAAATCCTGATTGGGTAGAAGAGGTATAGGACTTCGAGAAAAACACACTCATACATATAATACAATCAGGAATACATATTTTTCAGCACATTATACAAGGTGTTTGGTTCGCTTCCGTATAGCTGGAAGGAGGTGGCAGTTATTGTGATTTCGAACATATTTAACCGGTTATGCTCGCGAATGTGTATACTTTTATACAAAGTACGTATAGTATCATACAATGTGTAACATTCTTCGAGACATCATCGCTTATAATTCCGAAGTTGAATATCACAAAATATTGATATCAATGAATTTTATCAGATAAAGATTCCATCGCGTATTCAATATCGATGAAATACGTATTCGAGTTTTTAGGAGAATCAAGATACAATCAGATGAAATGTTTGACAAAACGATGATATCACAAAATTCTTAACATTTTGTATAATAATATATACGGTTATTTATGTTCGAAATGTTCTTACCGATCACTTCCTTTCAGATATACGTCGTTGAACCAAACACTCTGTATTTCAGAAAAGAATGCACACAAATCAGAATATGACTTCTTGAAATTCGGCGATGAATTCCGAACATGTTATATTATATGATATGATGTAGAATTGTAGATATCTGGTATTAAAAACTTCATCATTTCAGGTTAAGCCTCTATGGCATCTTCTATTCACATTATATATGTTTATTGTATATACTTTCACCTTGATTTCTTCATGGCTACTCACCAATCAAGTACTCGAAAGTTTCCAGAAACATGAACATTTTTCTCTGAAGCACGCTGGGATAATGGTCGTCCACCGATATTTCAGGTAAAAATGATGAAAATATGCTCGAGATTATGTTTGTTACTATCTAAGCAGCTAAGTTATCACTAGCATTTTCTTTGCAGAATGGCAGTCACCTATTTAACATGTGTTGCGATGTTCAATACGTCTTTAGTAAGAAACATTAGTGGAGCTCTCAATATCGAAAGTACTTTTTCACATGAAGTAGCTTGCAAAAAGGGTTGGTTCTACTCTTTACTTCTCATAAATAATTTCCAATATATGAGAGATTTGGTGAGTATATTTTTGGATGACAAATCGATATTCATCATACTTATACAGGACGGGGAAAGAAATTCTGAATTGCGAAAACCTAATCACGAATCTGCGACTGAAGGTCTATAAATTACAAGTTTTCATCGTTCAAGTATGAACCCCTTGATTGGGTAGAAGTTTTGGAAAGAAATATTTTCAGATAAATTATGAACATGATGTATATATATATATGGCGTATAGTCAGGAAAGTAGTTGTTTTATGTTGAACAAACCGAAATCAAGGAGGAATTGATATTTTTGTTACATAGAGAATGCGAATTCTCGATGTCATTCTTCATTTATATACAGGGTGTCCCTAGACCAGTGGGACAGTTGAATATCTCCTGAACCAGTAGGAATTTTCAAAATATTATAATTTCACATCATATCGCATTATGAGTGCTAACTTCAGGAATGACTATATTTTCTACGAGGGGCACAAGAAAGGCTCACAAAATCGAACATACATTTTTTCAAATGGAACACCCTGTATTCCATTGCATTTTCATATTCTCCTTGAAGAGCTGAATTCAACGACCTAGCACACTTGGGGGTCTAGCGGGAATGATTTCCGAAATATAGGGTGTGGAAAATCGAGATTTTTCATTTTTGGGAATTTTTTATGTCAAAGTCAAAACTATTCATTATTGGTCAAAACGGCTGACATGTCCATATCTCAACTTTTGATTCACTATTTACTCGTATTTAATTGAAACAAATACAGGGTGGTGTAGAATTCTCAGTTTCAGTCAGAATTCTACACCGCCCTGTATTTGTTTCAATTAAATACGAGTAAATAGTAAATCAAAAGTTGAGATATGGACATGTAAGCCGTTTTGACCAATAATGAATAGTTTTTACACAAAAAATTCCGCGCTATATAAAAAATCTTCACTATATGAAACGAGGAAGCTCTCAAGTGCATTCAGCACATCCGTTAGCTGTGAACCTCGAAATATGTGGAACAGATATCAAAACTCTTTCCTCTATGAAACGAGGAAGCTCTAGAATTCATTGCCAGAGAAAGTAAGTAACTCATAATCTCCAAAAGCTGAAAAAACAATTCAACACCTACTCCCTCTCCCTATCCTCCCTAGGTACGCACGATGGTCATGTCATGCGCACCCAGCGATAATAAAAAGTGGTATGGCTCCACAACCATCTTTTTTGTCCTCAGCAGAGTTACCAGAACGACTAGTTGAAACTTCACAAGGAGCTGAGATGAAAAGTTATGTACATGAAGCTTGTGATACCTTGACGGATCTCACTTGTAGGTTATACTTAGAGGAAATTGAACCCCCCTCACACTCGGGTAGGTGGGATACATTGTAACATGAGGATTTACCTGTGTTTTAACTCGAGTACCAGGAAGGTACGATTTGTCCTTTTTTCGTTCAGACTTGAGTCAAGCATCATCCAACGTAAATAGCTAGGCATATAGTTCACATTTTATCAAAGGAACTTACATGATGTGAATTACATTACATGACAATTGTGAATATTTCATCGAGTTCTTGTACCTGTTGGGTTGGTTATGTTCTTGGAAACGTAAGTGACTGAAATTGATTTGAACATTTAGGATTTCACACGAATTTACGGTCATAACTCACCACAATGCACTCCATGTATCGCACGAGTCAATGTAGTGATCCAAGGAAAAAAATTCTTGAACTCCAGAGCAATCTGAAAACGAATCAAATCAGGTGATATCACAGAGGTTTGAGAACTATCGTACTTACCAGTTGAGTAGTACAAAGGCTATGCCATTCCTGGATTTTTTGGAAAGTTATGTGAAATGGAAATTTACTTTCTGTTTGTGAACATATATGTGAACATCACAAAGATTCTTCTGGTTGTTTTGTTCAGACTAAGACTCATAATAATAATAATAATAATAATGTTTATTGAAGTACAAAATAACAAGAATACATGTGTTTAAATATCATTGTACTTCAAAAGGCAAATAGTTGGCAAGCCATTTTTCATATTTGCCTTGGAAAATCACAGGGATTAATAAACAAATACTGCACCCACATAAGTGAGCATTACATGACAATACATGACAATGAATAATGAGATTAACAATCAAAATCAAAATAATAAGTTGGAGAAAACAATAAAATTTTACAGTGCATATTATTGGTTCATTGATAGTATATGCAGTTTGAATGATTTTTTGAACATTTTCATATCTAGAGTACCACTGAACAAATTTTCATACATATTTATCATCGTAGGTGCAATATATTCAAAGCAACCTTGGAATTTGGATGAACGATGTTGGGGTATAGTAAATGAATCAGCATTTCTAACATTTGCTGTATGAATGGTAGATCTTCTGATGAGTAATTCGTGCAAGTACTTGGGAGTCTCAGTAGACAACACCATATAAACAATTGATGCATATAAACATGTAACCCGATTCTCAATTTCGAGTATTTTCATTTCATTGTAAAATGGTGTTATGTGATCACGTCTGTTGATATTCCTATTTGAAAAGCGTAAACAGTTATTTTGCATTACTTGCAGTCTATTACGCATCTTATCATTAAGAAAATGATAATAGACAGGTGCACAATAGTCGATATGTGTAAGTACTAGTGAGTTAGTTAGATTCCATTTAGTAGAAGGTGGCAGAATGTTTCTAAATTTCCACAAAGATCTGTATTTGAAGTAGCAAGTACGAATTTTGTTGAGAATATGTGGACCAAATGTGAAATTCTCATCAAAAATTATTCCCAAGTTCTTCACATTATTTTTCACCTCTACTATTACATTATCAACACTGATACGTACTGTCTGTTGAGATTTACATTTGGATATAAGTGACTTAGTACCGAAACAAATCGCTTGCGATTTATTTGGGTTTATTAAGAGACCATGATCAACAGAATATCTACTAATACTCTCAAGTACTGCGTTCAAATTGCCTATGCGTTCATTCACATTCTTATGATCACAGAAACCATAGATTTGAACGTCATCAGCATATAAATGAATATTGAAGCTACTGTATAAATCATGTACAATATCTGCTGTGAAAATCACAAACAGGATAGGGCCCAGAATACTGCCCTGCGGTACACCACGTATCACTTCACGGCTAGATGAGATTGAATCATTAATTTTTACGCACTGTTTACGAGCACTAAGGTAGTTTTTGAACCAATTGAGTACCTTCTGTTCCAATCCGTAGTACTGTAGTTTGGATATGAGTAATCGATGATTTACCATATCGAAAGCCTTACTATAGTCTAGGAGAACCATATATGTAACCAAAGATTTATCCCAATTTCTAGAAATATCGTTTACAATCTTCAGCAGGGACGTTGAAGTACTATGTAGTTTGCGAAATCCTGACTGGACATTTGACAAAATAGCAGAATCAACTAAAAATATTCTGAGAGCACTTGAGCAACACTCTTTTCCAATAGTTTTGACATAACGGGCAGTACATTGATTGGTCGTAGTTGAGAATATTCGACAGCTTTAGGAACTTTTGCTAGAGGATTTATTACTGCATGTTTCCAGACTGCAGGAACTTCGCCAGTTTGAAGGGACTGATTTATGATTTTTGTCAGAGCTGATTTACAGGAAACATATACATATTTCATCATTTTTAGATTAATTCCATCGATTCCTTATGCATTGGATTTCAAGGAATACAATATCTTCTCTACAGACTCCTCTGATATAACTGGAAAATTTGTCGTTGGTTCACATTATATACTGAATGTTCGTAAAAGTTCAATCTTTCTTCAACAATATCACACTGCCCTATAGAGTTGAGGAAAAAGTCGTTGATCATGTCCACATCTCGAATATCAGCTGACAGTTCGTTCAAAGGTTTATCATGAACATTCCATTTTGAGAAATCACGCCATAGTTGTTTAGTGTTGTTTTTATTTATCCTCAGTTGATGTTCGATATAAGCAGCCTTTTCACTTTTGATCGCTTGACAGACGTAGTTACGTATGTTTCTATAATAAATCAAATGATTCTGATTTTTAGATTTCTTATATCTGTTATATGCTTTATTCTCCAGTTTAATCATCTCTTTGTGGGAGTGATATAGGGTCTATATTGTTTTCTTAGCGTGACAGTTTTGAATGGGGCATGGACGTTGAATAGTTCATTAATTGAGTTAGTTATGAAGTCGACTTTGTCGTCAATAGTTTCAATGTTGTCTATAATATTCCAATCAATCATTGACGAGTCCAGTGTGAACAGTTCTTGGTTAAACTTGGAGAAATCTCTATAAGTGAACGTTTTTTGTGGTGGTTTCGAGAGTTCGATCTCTAACTCACCAAAAATCAGCCTATGGTCAGTCATATCATAATATACAGGGTGGGTCACGGTCGATGGCACCTTAGACGTTTACGGAGAACGGGACATAAGATCATTCTGAAAATTTGGTTACTCAAGTAATTGCTCTTGATCTATCGATCTAAAATATTTTCAGCTCTGCGGCGTTGCCGCTTCTATCGAAAAGTAGCAACAACTTTGTTATTTTGAACGGAACACCCTGTATTTTATCGCATTTTCAGATTCTCTCTGAAGAGCTGATTTCATCGATGTATCACACTTGGGGTCTAGCGGAAATGATTACAGAGATATAGGGTGTGAAAAATCGACATTTTTCAACTTTAGGAATTTTTTTTGTCGAAACTATTCATTATTGGTCAAAACGGCTCACATGTCCCTATCCCAACTTTTGATCAACTATCTACTGACATTTAATTGAAACCAATACAGGGTGGTGCAGAATTCAGATTCTTGATCACCCGGTATATGTCCCAATTAAATATCAGTAGATAGTTAATCAAAAGTTGAGATAGGGACATGTAAGCCGTTTTGATCAATAATGAATAGTTTCGACAAAAAAAATTCCTTAAATTGAAAAATGTCGATTTTTCACACCCTATATCTCTGTAATCATTTCCGCTAGACCCTATGTGTGATATATCGATGAAATCAGC